ACACTAGTAAAGAGCAGCAACCCAGGGAGCAGAACTAAGGGAAAATAACTACACAGGAATCCAATACACACAGGAACAAAGCACAGGATCAACAGCATGTGATACAATGAAGTGAGGGAACTGACCACAGACAGGCAGGAAAATACACAGATCATGGGGACTAACAAAAGGCAGGTGTGAGAACTCAACACAATCAACCAATCAGAGCAAACACTGGAAACAGGACACAGGTGGAATTAACTAACAATTAACAAACACAGAACACTCACTGTAGCCTTTTGTGATTTTCCTGCTCTATCTGATAAACACGTTCTAAACCTGCATTTCTGTTCTCTAGCCTGCATTTCTGCTCAATCTAATGAGCACAAAGTTCAAGCACATATCGCTACACTAAGGTTCACTCTTAATTCTCTTAAGCTGACATTCTTGGCTGTCAGCTGCCTAACACTCAGGTACTTTTGTATTAGTTGCACAAAGATAAAGTTTCAAAGCTAATTACAAAATATCCCTCTAGTCAGTTTTTCTCTCACACTGGACAAGATCCTACGGAGCTGCCAGAGGTCACACCAGAGCCTGGGCCTGCTGGGTACCTGAGGTGCAGCCCAGCTAGAGACAGGAAGCTCCTGAGTATTACAGGCAGTCTAGTGTTAACCCTGGAAACAAGGGACAGAACAAATCCCTTTGGGGTTAAGCCAGCTGCTTTTGGAGCCAAAAGAGAAACAGGAGTGCTGTTGGGGGGGGGGGTGATATCATGCAAAATTTGTATATTGGTATATTGTTATACATTTTACTGTAATCAAAATAATTATATAAATGGTTTGATGTGAACATTTGATCTATGTGTTTTTTTTAGCTAAAAAAAAGTCGACATCAGTGTTGTCCCCCCCAAAAAAATTCCACCCCTGGATAGTTATGGTAATTAAGTTGAAATCTGTTTGAAATCATGTCACAGTTTACAAGAAGTAACCAGTGAATGTCATTGAGTGACTGGGAGCTACATGACAAATCGTCTCTCCTGGCTGCTACCTGCTGTCTCTCTGTGCTGCCACTAGATGTCACTGCTTCTCTTATACTGTCATAAGCAAGCTGATGTCAGGAAGCCGCCCTAATGAAATAAGCTCAGAATGTGGATGGCAGTTACATCTATTTAAATAAAAATATAATGGTTGGATATTTGTGTTTCATTCACAGGGACGGAGTGAATAGATGTAATTCACAGCCACATAAAGGGGACTTATCATCCATCTTCAAGGTGTGCATTTATTACTGAAGTATATTTTCTTGAATTTCATCTAAATTGACATATATCTTCTACAGATGTATAATAAGTAGTTCATCCTATCAAAGAGATGATATTTACAACTAATCCTGCGTTCCATTTACTTCGGAGGCCGGAACTCGGAGCTGGGAATGACGTCACACCCAAGTTAACCTCGTTTCAGTACAGCAAGTCGGAAAGCCATTTAGCAAAATCAGGGACCTGAAATCGCTTG